AACCAACCAACCAACCAACCAACCAACCAACCAACCAACCAACCAACCAGCAACAACAACAAAAACTAACCCAAATCTAACGTTTGCATCCAAGCCTTTTAAAAGCAACAGTCAAAGGCGGCCAACATGTGGCTGTTCAGTTGTGATGACATGCTTTTAAAGAGGGAGCAAGGGAGATCCACCAAAACACTTGCAATCTTGACGCCCTTTCTTAGGCCTTGCTTCCTACCATATGCACCAGTTTCCAGCTGGTGACCACTGAAAGGAGCTGCTGGTTGAGCCGGAGCACTGAGTTCCGTGGTTCTAATTTTAGCAGCGGCCTTTATCTTTGTAGGCCTATCCGGAAGTGTTTACAGATGGAATGATACACCTGGGAGGTGAGAAAGAGCCAGGTGCGGTATGGAGGAAACAGTCTGGTGGTGACAAGTTCTCAACAGTGGTTGTTGGGGCATCAGTGCTTCCTTAAAGAATCCTCTCTACTTCTCTAGAGAGGGTTGAGGGTTTGTATTATAAAAGCGGTGCTCTTTCTTTTTTAAAAACACAGGGTCTCAAGCCATAGCAATCAAAACTCAAAACAACTGTTTTGCCTTGGCCTCCCAAGTGCTAGGAGTATAGGCATGAGCTACCGTGTCTGCCTTTAAGTTTCTTTTTAAAGCCCTGATTGATCATGCCTAGACACAGGTTGGAATGGCAGATACCAGTTGCCTCGTTTTACTTCTAGGGCACTGACTCAACAGTGTTACTTTTATGTCTGAAATTTAATAATCTTATGAGAGAAGTGATCTGTGATCTTTTAGTGAGAAGGCAAAAATTCTGATAGCTAATATGGACCTAAATTCTGCCAGCCACAAAGACAACTTATGGTGGTTCCTTATTTGTCAGAGTGTGATCACTGGGAAGTAACTAGTTGGGACAGTTTCATTCTGAGTTTTAAAGATTTTCTAAGTGTCTCTTTCTGCTTAAAAGATGTCTCTCTTTACTTAAAAGATTACTAAGGTTTAAAAACACTTGAGGATCATGGAGATCAAGTACTAGGGGAAAAAAAAACCCCATTTCCAGAATCCATTTCCCGTCTTCTACAAAACAGGCACAGGCGTTGGTCAACGATCTGGTTACCTGCAGGTTCTCTTTGATGTCCCGGCTTCAAGGCCAGGGTGTGGGTGTGTAGTAGGGGCAAGCCTTAGGAAATCAGGGAGGGCTATGAGCGGAAGCACTCTCATGCCAAGGGGAAAAGGGGAACTGATGTAATATCCTGGAGAGATTTCACTCTCTGTCCCTGCCCACATCTTTGGGAACAATGAAGGAGGGAGACAGTGCTCTAGATAATTCAACCCCGACTGGACTTCAGACTCAGGATCCTGGGCAGGAACAAGATGTGGAAGAGCTTGATTTATTTATTTCTCTGCAGATACCACTGAAAGAGGAAGCACTTGATGAAGCTGATAACATTAATGGAAGACAAGTGGATCTGAGGGGATTTAATTCCAGGCTCCTGGTGGTCTGGGCACAAGTGCCACGTAAGGCTGGAAAGGCCTGCAACAAGACCTTCCAAGCTTTGTTTCAGTACAAAGCTCGTACCCACGTACAGATTGGGCTCTGGTGTTCCTGCCCTGCTGCTTGGTGCTCTGTTATTATAAGTTGGCAGCTGAGCATGGAAACGCAAGAGACCAGAGCCGGCAGGCAGGGGAGCTCCGGACACAGGAAATGCGCTGCTCGGATAGTGGGTGCATGAAATCCCTCAGATGTAGGAGTCTTCTAA